TCCCAATTGGGACCTTAGCTTAACCCAGGACTTCATACATATCTTTGGGGGAATTCCCTGTCAATATCTAACTACAGTCTCAGTCTATAAGATGTATCAGTGTATCAGTCTATAAGATTTGTCGATACAAACCTGAACTTAACCTAAAACCTGAAATTAATCCTAGATCAAACCTGAAATTCCAACCCAAATGTAAGATAAATTTGAAATTATTTTTCAGGGCACCAATGATATTTCAAGGCAAAAAATTGGTGAGGAAATTGGTATTGGAAAATGCTTTTTCTCCTTTTTGTAAGACGAAATCAAGTCATATACTGTTGTCTCTAGGACGGTGCAAACAGGTACACCTGCGCATGCGCACCAGGGTACCAGGGAACCCGCTGTGAGTCGAACATCAACGAGTGCCAGAGCAACCCCTGTCAGCATGGCGGCGCATGCGTGGACGGGGTCAACGGCTACAGTTGCGACTGCTCTGACGGATACACAGGTAAGCACTTATATCTAAAGACTATCCAGTAATTCTCTTATTGTGTACTTGATACATATAGATAATGAAATGAAAAACATACAATTTTGCATCTATATACTAGTAGCACAGTAGCAAGTCATGCATACTCTAAGGCTGCAAAATTTTGCAAATTTTCTTCTTCCCCTTCTTCTCCAAACAAATAAGGTCAATGACTTGAACCAGACGTCTGTCACTATGGTATCTAGTGTTGGGTTGCATCATGTTGCAATTTTATATCAGGAGGGATTTAGACTCCTGTCACCATATATATGAATGTGTTTGAGTAAGAATTAACAGAGCAGACCATATGCAAAGGTAAACATTATGCATTAACTTTGCAAATGTTACCTTTCTAGTTTTAATGTTGCATTGCAAATGTTACCTTTCTAGTTTTAATGATGGTTTCTTTGCAGGCCCTAACTGTGAGACTGAGGTTGACGAGTGCAGTTCCGGCCCGTGCTCGCATGGGGGCACTTGTACGGACCTCGTGGCGGGCTTCTCCTGCACATGCGCACCAGGCTACACCGGCCAGCGGTGCGAAGTGGACATAGACGACTGTCTGTCACAGCCTTGTCTCAACGGTGGGTAGTTTGTTTGTTTGCTTGTTTGTTTGTTTGTTTGTTTGTTCATTTGATTGTTTATTCTACTATATTACGCCATGTACCTGGATTTCATACCTTCATCGACATCGATGTATCAATATGCTTGTTTACTTGCTTGTTTTTTATTTATCATAAACTTGTAATGGAAGCTTGGAAAAATAAAGAGGGATGTTTATCCATGTATTGCCATTTTCTTGTCCAAAAATAGAAGAAACTTTCTGTATGTCAAAAAGTGTTTGGCACAGTTACTGTAAGGCATGTCTGTCTGTGTACTAGAAAATATCGTAGTTAATCAAATGGATAAGCTCCGAAATGCTTTGTTAAAATTGATGTAAAATAAGAGAAATTTTGGCATGTTAATCACATGACCTTTCCCGTCACCCCTAGGTGGCACCTGCGTGGACGGAGTGAACAGTTTCCAGTGCGCATGCCCGGCCGGGTTCGGTGACGTCACGTGCGGGACCGTGGTGACCCCGTGTACGTCACAGCCGTGTCAGCACCAGGGGTCATGCCAGGTCACACAGGACGGCTTCCAATGCGAGTGTCGGTTCGGTACGGCCTGAAACATATTCCCCAGTCTTAATATTCAAACATACATGTACACATATCTCACACATACATATCACATTGTTAATCTCCAAGCAGATGTCTCGGTGGCCGCAAAAGACAGGCCTGGCAGTATCTATTGGCCAGACAGTATCTGTGGCCAATGGATACTGCCAGGCCAAATTTGATACTGTCTTTTGCGGCCACCGAGACATCTGCTTGGAGATTAATCCATATCACTGTCAATGCACAAGAAAACAGTTACTCGAACATTTCTTGTGCATTGAGAGCGCTATGGGTAAGGTTCATGTATGTATGTTACTCAAACAGCTGGACAGAAACTTTTCAAAACCTATCCAGTTACTTTCTTCTTGTGTATCTCATTACCTCCATCAACGTATCACTCTCTGTTTCTTGCGTTTTTGTGACATTTTTCCTCTAATTATGTCATTGTTTCTAAAAATTACCTGTTCTATCTTATCCGGACAGGATACACTGGAACGTTCTGTGAAACTGACATCGACGAGTGCGCCACGTCCCCTTGTGAGAACGGTGGGAACTGCACCGACCTGGTCGGGTCGTTCAACTGCACATGCGCGCCGGGGTGGTCGGGTTACAACTGTTCCCTGGACACCGACGAGTGCGCAAGCGCGCCGTGTCGTCACGGAGGCACCTGCGCGGACCTCCTGAACGGGTACCAGTGCGCATGCGTGCAGGGGACGACGGGAAGGGACTGCAAGGTGAACATAGACGAGTGCAGCAGCGCCCCCTGTCTGAACGGAGGGGTATGCCAGGACGGGGTGGGGAGCTACACATGCGCGTGTATTCCGGGCTTCACAGGTACAACAGTTTAACTTACTTGCTTAATCCTCTTAGGAGCCAGCATGGCTCTTAAGGCAGAAGGTAGCTCTTCCATCTGGCCCGATATTTTTTTCTATTTCAACATTTCATGACTAGACATGGTGACGGCACACTTATAGCAACCTATTTTTCTGCCGCCAGTACGCTGAGGACAAATACAGGACAGGATAATACTCATTGTCACTTGAGTTAAGTGAGGAAAGTCGTGTAAAGTGCCTTTCCCAAGGGCACAAGATCGGTGGCATGTCAGGACCCGGGACCTCTTGGTTCCAAGTCGAGCACTCTGCCGCTACGCCACACGACCCCACATAATACTTAATATTATAAGTTTGTGTCTGATATAGGACGTCTCCTTCCAACATCCAACTCCGTATAATAGAACACTGAAGACTTTGGCTCTGTCCTGTAAATGTTGATTTTTGTCCTGATGTGTATTTGTTTGTTCACAGGTACAAACTGTGAGGAAAACATTGACGAATGCGCTTCGGCGCCCTGCAGCAACGGTGCCACCTGCGTGGATGACGTCAACGGGTTCTTCTGCGCGTGCGCGGTTGGGTACGAGGGTACGTTGTGTGACGTGGAGACGGACACATGCGCAAACCTGCCCTGCAGGAACGGCGGGACATGCGCAGTGCTACACCCGGGATACAACTGCACCTGCCCAGACACACATGCAGGAAGGAACTGTCAGGTTTGGTCCCTTCCTTTTTTTTCCCAAAATCTATCTAGTTACTAGTACGTTTTCTTGCGTATTTCATTACCTGGATGTCTAACCTTCATCGGCGCTTCATTCTTTGCTTACAGCTAGTTTGTTCATACATACATTTTCACCTGAGTGAAGTGGGGGAAGTCGTGTAAAGTGCCTTTCCGAAGGGCACAAGATTGGTGGCAGGATTCGAACTCGGAACCTCTTGGTTCCGAGCCGAAAGCTCTGTCGTTCAATACGCCACACGACCCTGCAATCTCTTTTGGTGTACCAATGAATTTACAAGAACTTTGAATACTTCCTGAAGGTTTGAAAGGCCGTTTTATTCGATATTAATTTACAGGAGAACGTTGACGAGTGTGTGAGCTCGCCCTGCCAGAACGGCGCTCAGTGTGTGGACGGGACGGGCGGCTACCAGTGCGTCTGCGCGACCGGCTATACCGGGACGCACTGCGAGACCAGCACGGACGATTGCTGGTCCAACCCCTGCCAGAACGCCGGTAGGTACTATTAACGTTAGTCGCTTCCACCAGGCCTTCCTATAGGGGCACGATCACCTGCCAGAACGCCGGTAGGTAAAACACGCCGAATAGTTTCGTCAAGTTGGTAATATCATCGGCCTCCTTCCGTCTATGAAGTAGACGATGGGCTTAGTCCTGGTTGTGATTAAAGAGACTCTTGTTACACAACCGTGTTTTATCCAGCCAACGTTTGGTGACCGTCTGTCACCTAATCTCCAAGCAGTGGGACAAGAGGAGTCTACATTGGCCACCTGTATCCATTGGCTGCCCCATGTGGAGGCCAATGTAAGATCCTCTTTCCCCAGAGGTGATTACTGTCATCTTCCTCAGCGCAAATTTGGATGGTTCAAATTTCACAGCGCAGCAAATGCAAATACGTACAAACTAGTATATGCACAGTTCCAGGTTTGGAAACGCATCTGTAAGCAGCAAAATCTTAATCTCCAAGCAGATCCCTCTCGGTGGCAAAAGACAGTATCAAATTGGCCAGGCTGTATCCATTAGCCAGAGAAGGTCGCCAGCCACCGACGGGGTGGGGGTAGCCACAAAAAAACGGCCATATATAAAAAGCTCACGATCATTCCCCCACAACCTCTGCTTGGAGGGTAGCAAAATGTAACGCATGTACCTGTTGCAGGGACGTGTGTGGACGGAGTTGACTCCTTCACCTGCGCATGCCCAGCGGGAACCAGCGGGCCTCTCTGCTCCGGAGCGCTGACCGGCTGTGACGTCACACCCTGCAGGAACGGCGGCGCATGCGCAGAGCAGGCCGGCTCGTACCTCTGCACATGCGCAGACGGGTTCAGCGGCACCGACTGCGAGGTCAACACGGACGAGTGCGGCAGCGCCCCCTGTCTAAACGGCGGGTACTGCATCGACGGCGACAACTCATTCAGGTAGCGTAAGAAAAATTGTGAACCTGCTGTGAACATTTTGTATCCTCTGCCAGGCTTCAGAGACGGCTGGAAAGAGTGGAAATTGGCAGATAACATACCAGAGAAGTTGGCCCGCTAAAGGAGTACAATTTGCCATCCCGAAACTGTACTCCTTTAATTTAGTAGACCATCTCCCCCGGCATGTTATCTGTCTATTTGGCTAATTTCTACTCTTTCCAGCCGCCTCTGAAGCCTGGTAGAGGCTAAACATTTTATTGAAATCCATTGAATGGTATTGAAAAGCTTGAAATTGAAACGTATCAAATCAAAGAAATAAGAAACTCAAAGTAACCCATTTTTCCAAAATCGCGTTGTTCCCGCATGCGCAGATGTGTCTGTCCCGACGGCTTCTCGGGTCCTGTCTGTGACGTCAATGTTGACGACTGCGCAGTGAACCCCTGTCTCAACGGAGGGACATGCGCAGACGGGGTGGATGACGTCACCTGCACATGCGCTGAAGGATTCACAGGTAGGAAACTTCCACGTCCATTTTTTTTAAGTTAAAAGATGTAACTGTGTCTGGGCAGATGCTTAAAACCAGTCTTCGTATCAGGTAAAAAAAATTGACAATACGAAACAATACGAAACAATACGTACAAGTGATTGTACTTTCCCAAATTTTCGACTGTACAACTCCAGTCTTTGTCAAGGAATGAACAATCCACCGCTTCCGTGACGTCACGCAGATAACACACGTGACTCCGTGAGCAGTGGATCATAGGTTACAGGGAGTCTGTGGTGCCCCCCGTCTCTGTTGTGTTGGATATTGCAGTTCAAACTTGTTTCATGATGATTCCTACACATGAACTTTCAAGATAATTTTGACAATACTTCTGGGCCATCGCGGTTCTGTGCGTCGATTTGCATACTAAGGGGGGGGGGGTCTTAATTAAAAGTCGAAAGCTACTTGATTTAAATAAGGACATGTCCGTTCGTTCTTGTGACCGCCTCTGCCTAAGAACAACCTGGCCATTGTGGACACTTTTTGTGCCCCTTAGATTCTCCCATTCAAACATATTTATATTTAGCTGTATACTATTTCTTCGAGTCCCCTGGTTGGTCACTAAAGACAGGTTTCAGGCCAGAATAACTGCAATCATAAAAAGAAACACGGCAAGTGTAATGTAAGCACTCTCGATACTTTATTTCCTTCTAGGAATACAAAAACATAGGTCTTCGTCAGGCGAAACTTGCATCACCCTCTAGACATTATACCATTCCCCACGGGAACATACTAGTACGCCACAACACATCATAGATGCTTACATTGTGCGTCTGGCCGATATTGCTCGGATACATTCAATAATATTGTTCTCTACAACATTTAGAACAGTTTTAATGTAATGCCACATATACAACACATTGAACCCAGCTATCTGAAGATTCAATAAATAAATAAACTACATTCATAGCTTATCTTTAACACATGTCATGTGTTAGAGTCATCCATGCTAAAGCATCACATACAAAAATTATCTACATCTTAAAATTATACACTAAATACAATGTCTGAATACTTAGGCATACATATATACAAGTACATAAATCGATGTTTTTTCTTTATCTAAAAATTTTTGGGAATGGCTCGGAAAATCCCAGAAGATAGTTTGACGTCACAATAAGGTCACGTCACAATAGGATAACAATGGGAACCTTCCACAATGTTATCTTATCATAAATTTAAAATCTCAAGACACGGTCCTATCAAGATTAGATCATGAAACATTTTTAAATATCTCTCAGTATAAATGCCGCTCTATGGGCGACAGATAGATAGGAAAATACATTTTAAAGTGCCAGTGTGGTTTAACTGTGCGCTACATGTAGATGTAGTCTGGTCACGTATTCGCCCAACCCACTGCCACTCAATTATCTTTCAGGTCACTGTACATGCAAACTAGTATTATATACACTCGATGTGGCAAAATAATTAGGAAATATAGGAAATAGGATCTCTGTAGGCTGTACAATTGGTAGTGTTACAAATCTATCTACATGGCTATGAATTTAATTTACAAAGAGGGCGAACTTCTACCCACAAAAATGTAAATTTAAAGTACAAATGTACTCTCCAAGCAGAGGTTTGGGTTTTGGGCCTATTTTTGGCGTCTTTTTTGCATCCTTTTTTGGTGTAAAAGATATATCGGTGCAAATAAAGAAAGCCCCTCCACAAAAAAGGCCTAAAACCACACCAAAACTAAGCCAAAACCCAAACCTCTGCTTGGAGAGTAATGTGCAAGAACCGTTCAGAATAAGAACATGCCGTTTCAAATCTATCTACATGGCTATGAATTTACAAAGGGGACGAATTTCGACCCACAAACATGTAAAAAGAACCGTTCATCGATCAGCAAGCGAACATGCCGGACAGCCACGTTCCCGTGGATTTACACGTGGTCTGGTAGAGTTTCTGTAGATCGGTGATGTCTGTGAGCGCGTTCCTCCGACGAGTAGCCCGTGGGCTTTGGGAGAAGCTCACGTAGTCTGATACAACCGCCGGGGCGTCTGGCGAGCTGTTGTCGGCGGTGGTGTTGCCCTCCCCCCGTAGGACTTGCAGGGTCGCCTCGTTCACCCCCTCGAGGAGGTTCAGCGAAGCGTCTCGGCGTTGCAGAACCGGTTTTCTGCTGTTTGCGGCCATCTTTGTCTCTTTGCTTTGCTTTTGGTATAGGTGAGCCGATGTTTTGTCGCTGTCTGCGTTGGTGTTGTGGCTGTGTTCATGTCGTATGCCTTGCACGGAGACGCCAAGAGCCTCTAAGACATGCCACAGCGCAAGACGTCGCTTCTTAAGCGGGCTGGTGGTCGGGGTAGTGTCTTGGTTGGGGCTACTGCTCGCTTTGCCCCCGTACTGTTGCTGTAAGCTCTCTACGCTCGCTGTGTCTAGACCCTCGAAGATGTTTGCCTGCGCCTTGCGGCGTCTTAGGGGTGGCTTGGCGTCTTCGTCGAGGAGTAGGGCCTCCTTGTTCTCGTCTTGGGAGCGCTTGTCGTCGGCGTCGCGACACGAGAACACCCGCCGCAGACCCTCGACGCTGGCCTCGTCGACTCCTGCAAAAATGTTGCCCAGCCCTACACGCCGCTTCGTGTTGTTGTTGATCTCGTAGTTGTGAGACAGTCGGGCGCTGTCTTGCAAAAGTTCGCTACTCGACTCACTCTCTGTCGTGTCTTCTTCGTAGATGGTCTCCAAGGTTGTGTAGAACTCGGAGGAATGTCTCCTCCTCTTTCTTGAGAGTTTGTGTGGATCGTCTTGAGTCCGTGGCTGAGTAGCGAGCGGTAGGGCTCCACCGGCGGGCGTTACTTGGCCGTCAAGCCGAAGGCGATCCACCTGTTCAGTGTCGATGCCCAGGAAGATATCCCCGAGTGCGTTCCGGCGCCGAAGCGGCTCGTGTACGGGAGGGAGGCCGCCCTCCTGCCGAAGGCCCTCGGCTGGTTCACCCGGTGGTGTCTCGGTCTTCGCCAAGCCCCACTGCCCAGCCGATACGCTTTTCACTGTGGAACCTGTCTGCATTTTCACGTGGACGGTCGGTTTGTGAAACTCTGAGTTGCTTCTCGTTGTGATCTCTTGAATCTTAGTCTCTACCGTCTTCGAATTCGCCCGTCCTTTATAGTATCCAGTCCTTGTCAGTGATTGGTCGGCGTGGACGGAAACCCCCCAAGTCCCAAGAATAGCACATGATGACGTCTCGTGACGCGTCACCTCATGAATATTCATGACTTCCTGGTAGAGAGGAACAGAGAAAAACAACCTGTTGCCGCTCCGCATGAGTGACGCAAGTAAACTCCAAGCAGATGTCGCGAGAACAATTACTAGTACGTGATTTTCTGTCCGACATATTTTCCCGGTACGCAACGTTTAATACACAATGAAACGTTGCAAGAATTTGCCAAAAAAATTACTCAAGCAACTGGATATGCTTTTGGAATCGGTCAGACAGACGTTTCAGGTAGCATCTTTCGTCAATTTACACTGATTTTTAAGAAATTAGTCGCTCCACGTTCGCTCAGCGATCGCTATAATAGTGTAAAGTGTAATCTCCAAGCAGATCTTTCGGTGGTCACAAGACAGTATCAAATTGGCCAGGCAGTATCCATTAGCCAGAGAGTATAATGGATACTAGTACCAGGCCAATTTGACAGTGTCTCGCGACCACCGAAGGATCTGCTTGGAGATACGTCAAAAAGCAGTTACTCAAGCAACTGGATATGATTTTGGAAACGGTCAAAATCATATCCAGCTGCTTGAGTAACTGCTTTTTGGCTTATCTTATTTGCTGGATGTCTAACCTTCACCGACGTATCTGCTTGGAGATTATGTGAAGTGAGCCTTACACCTTCACAACTGTGTCGTGACTATACATGTTTTGTCTCGCTCGTCCTTTGATGATCTTGATATAAAAGCGTCATGAAAACATTTCTGGTGAAAAACAGGCGGGCGGCGTGTGACAGTCAGACTCTTGTCACGAGCAGCTAACAGCTACGTAAGACCGGCTTGTTGTTGTTCCGTGTCGGAGGTGTTTCGTAGGACGTCACGCCTCCCAATAAGTCCCCTTTAATACTACACTATAGACAGATCAATTTGAGTCATCTTTGATTTCGTGTGTTTATTCGGAATTGCGACAAATAGAATACTGTGGCTGTTGGTATATAGCTACCCAGCAATAGCTGATATCGTGCACCACGTCAAACAACATTTAGTGTCAAGTGTGCTTCCCGAAGCCTGGTAGAGGCTACCTTACACCTTCACAGTTTTGTCGTGACGACGCATGCTTTGTCTCGCTCGTCCTTTGATGATCTTGATATAAAAGCGTCATCAAAACATTTCTGGTGAAAAACAGGCGGCGTGTGACAGTCAGCCTCGTGTCACGAGCAGAGGCAGCTACGTAAGACCGGCTTGTTGTTGTTCCGGCGTTTCGCGTGCCAATTTCCGGAAAGGGGCTGGCGGTGTTGCGTAGAACGTCATGCCTTCAAATAAGGGCCCTTTTCAATATAGACGACGATTAATTTGCGTAACCCTTGATTTTATTTATTTATTTGTTGGGAATTGCGAAAAATACCAAACGGTGGCAGCAATACTATCCTAGTGACATCAGAAGCACAATACAAGATCGATCTGATGAAAGAAAACGTTGTTTGGCACTGAATTCCGTTTATTATAACAATAGAAAACGACGCTATGAGTACTTGTACTTGGTCGATCATACATATATATATTTCCATATAAGGCATATTTACGGGTAGAAATACTATCCTATTAACATCAGAAGAGACCCGTACGTTGTAGACAAATGACGTTATCCTTTGAAAGTTCTTAGAAATCGGTTTATGTCATCAATATGAGACGACTGAAGGTTGGCGGTACTCGTAGGCGATGTGGTGACGTAATTAGTTTTTTTCCAACATGTAATCACAAGACGTGGTGACGGCACGCTCAAGTTTTTTTCAACTTATGACACCAACACGCGGGACAATACAATACTTACAATACTCATTTTCACCTGAGCGAAGTGAGAAAAGTCGTTTCCCAAAAACCCAAAAAGTGCCTTTCCCAAGGGCACAAGATCGGTGGCATTAGGTTTCTCTCACGTAATTAGATATAGGAATAAAGGTTTCTCTCACGTTCTGGCGGTCTTTCAAGTTCCCGAAGGCAATTCCTGTAATGGGAGAATAAAGTAACGTACATGTAAATGCGTAGAAGGTTTCGTGTTTTCATCAAAGGCATCACTATAATGCCCCTAAGTCATTTTGCGTGCGGTAGTGTGCTGTGATCATGTTTTGCTTTTGATGAGTGTCTGCCTTCAGTTCTTCCTTTTTTGGTAGGATACTTTGGTGGCAGCGAAGACAATATATGTAAATGCGTAGATGGTTTCACGTTTTCTTCAAAGGCATCACTATAATGCCTTAAAGTCATTTTGCGTGCGGTAGCGTGTTGTGATCTTGTTTTGCTTTTGATGAGCGTCTGCCTTCAGTTCTTCCTTTTTTGGTAGGATACTTTGGTGGCAGCAAAGACAATATATGTAAATGCGTAGACGGTTTCACGTTTTCTTCAAAGACATTACTATAATGCCTTAAAGTAATTTCACGTGCGTTGTGATCATATTTGGCTTTTGATGAGCGTCTGCCTTCAGTTCTTCCTTTTTTGGTAGGATACTTTGGTGGCAGCAAAGACAATATATGTAAATGCGTAGACGGTTTCACGTTTTCTTCAAAGGCATCACTATAATACCTTAAAGTCATTTTGCGTGCGGTAGTGTGCTGTGATCATATTTTGCGTTTGATGACCGTCTACCAACAGTTTTTCCTTTTTTGGTAGGATACTTTGGTGACAGCAAAGACAGTATTAAACTTGCCAGGCAGTTACTACATGTATTTGCCACTCAAGGCTGGCGTAAAAAAATATACCACTCCATAAAAAGAAAGCCCAATAAAAACACATTATATTTCTACCTATCTATCTATGGCAATCACTCAATATCTTTATTTGCAATCAGACACAGATTCATGCACAGATACAGATTCATGTACAGATACAGATTCATGTACAGATACAGATTCATGTACAGATATACAGATACAGATTTTTCCGAGTAGGATGACCATGTCAGTCCCTACACCTGAGTGAGGGTCGGTGGCCTTCGCGTGAATTTGTTTAAGGTGGATAACAGGTTGCGAATCTGAGACCCACACCTCTGCTTGGAGAGTAGTTCATGATTCATACTCATACATTGTAATAATCAATACATGTACTACGGTCCGGTTGCAAGGTTTTCGTGTGATGTGATTACGTGTTTAACTAGTTAAACTTAAGGCCACAGCAAGTAAATTTTATGGATGACATCCTCCGCAGACTCCCAATCTAATGCGACCGGGCGAAAAAATAAGATGGGCCGACGAAAAAAACAAGATTCCTGCATTTTAAATTAAAATTTTAACTCAATCATTGCACAAATGGTTTTGATTCAGTATGAACATCACATATACACAGCCAGCATCACATATCACTGCATCAAAGTAAGAAACAAAACATAAAATCAGAGCCTTGTCTTGTTTCCTGTATTCATATATACATGTATCTGCCATCCACGTTCCGGCATGGCAACAGACATCTTTGCCCATTTCGACATGTTGACCACTGTCAGAAGGCAACAACAAAATATTTTTTTTCAAAATCGAAAATTTTGGCAAAAATTTATGATGTCATCCATGAAAATTACTTGCTGTGACCTAATAAACCCGTCCCTGACAGTGTATCACAGACGCACAAACATGTTATGTGGGCGTGTTAATAATCCTTGCTCCGTGCAGCGGCACCAAATAACACCATTATTGTGCGGCAAATCAGGACCTGATTAAATCTGGCCAGGACTAACACCGCCAGTCATAGCTTTGTGGAGCGTCATCTGATGAAATAATTAACTTCGTCATAGAGTTGTGTCTTCTCAGAAGCGATGGAATATCAATTTGAATCATTGTGTTGATGACAGTTTCGGTATAGTGATTACAAAACTAGTCACTTCATTATTACGTTAAAGCCTTTCTATCGTCATCGAGAATTCATCACCTTTTTTGTGGGACAGAAAAACAGTCGGTTCCTGGAAAGAGTGGATATGAAAGTCGGATGGATAAAGCGTTAGAAACGAGCTAGTTAGTGAGTCATGGCAAAACTTTATATCTTATTGCTCTTGACCAGTTGTTATTGCCTCACGAAAAGTTTTAATCATTAAGACTTTTAAAAAGTAGAAGATTATCACAGCAAGATTTTAAAAAATCATTAAGTTAATAATAGTTTTTTTTTAATCTTGCTGTGATGATCTTCTACCCTTTATTTGATATCCCGGAAAATACTTGTTTAAACGCTCCATTTACAGCGTACTATGGGTCTACTATGTCTCAATTCTAATGTGATTTATATCCAGCCATTTTGGCTGCCGTGTTTGAGACAATTTTGCGTTCCTTCCGAAATAGACCATTAACACCTCATACCCTTATTTCCCGTAGGACTCACATACGAGTCAATCGAGCGTGTTGCAATTCGGCCCATATTAGAACCGTGGGGCTAACGTTGGATACAGGCGGCCAATGGATAATTTCCCCTGCCCCACCGAGATTAGTGTTTATGTGCGGATTCACGCCCAGACTGATACTGGTTAGAACAGGTTACCGCAGTCACGCGGAGCAAAATCACGGCGGACAAACTTATTTCATGGTCCTGTGTAGCCTCTAGTAGTGGTACCGGGCTTCAGAGGCGACTGAAAAGAGTAGAAAATGGCCAACTAGACAGATAACATGCCAGCTAACTCAACGCGACAAACTGTACCCCATGTTTAGCCTCTACTACGCTTCGAGAGGCTGCTGGAAAGAGTAGAAAATGGCTGAATAGACAGATAACACGCCAGGGAAGTTGGTCCGCTAAAGGAGTACAATTTGGGAGCGTCAAGTGTACTCCTTTAGTACTCCTGGTAGATAAATTTAAAAAAATTACTGTGATTTTCAGGGTATAATATTTTCATTAAATACACGACACATCATCATCATCATGCCTCCGGATTATACTAATCCGGTGAGGTACACTTGACAAAGTTACTCCAGTATGTCCTACCTCTCATAGCGGACACTAATGCAGGCCCTGCGAGACCAGTGTCTCTCTCTAGCATGGACAAAAGTGTAGTATAAGGCCGTCCCACTCTACGTCTCCCCGTAGGAAGCCACTGTACTAGTCTACCAGCTGGTTCGAGAAAAGGTACGAGATACACGACACAGAATTCCATTTCCTGCGACCAAGCCTTTCCTTTGTGTCGACAGGTTAGGCCTATAAGCTACAGTTTCCTCTGGTACTATATATAGCCGAGGCTTCATTTGTTTTGGCTACAGTTTGCTGCTTTGTGTTCCAACTCCACTGGCGTGTCATCTGTCTATTTATATTCTATTCCAAGAAAGGATCAGAGGTAGCCATGATTACAAATTCCAGTTATTTACAGCACATAAAGACTGCTTTAGGTTTTCCTTTTTTCCCCGCACGGTAAGCGAATGGAATCAGATGCCGGGCCTAGTGGTGAGGGCACCGACAGTAGAGGCTTTTAAGGCCAGGGTAGAAGCCGCCCTGCCTTAACCCGTGTTCCGCTCCCCCCCTCAGTGATACCCCGTACAGGGGTCGTTCGATGGTATTTAGAGAAAGAAGAAGAAGATCGGTGACATCCGCTTGAGTGCGGAGGCGGTGTAGGGTTGGGCTTCCGTCAGGTGTAAGAAAACAACTCCACTGGCGTGTCATCTGTCTATCTTTATTCTATTCCAAGATCGGTGACATCCGCTTGAGTGTGGAGGCGGTGTGGGGTTGGGCTTCCTTCAGGTGTATAAAGAAAACAGGTTCTATTCTGTTCTATTCTATTCTATATGCTACTGGGCAATGCCCTATCTAGGGCATCCCGCCCAGGGTGAACGGCTATTGCGGCCGGTGGGGTGCGGTGAATAAAAAATGTGCATGAAAACAAAACAGAACAGAACAGAACATAAATTTGTGCGTTTTGTGCATGGCCGCAACTAGCAATACCCGACTTACAAGGTGTCACCGTGCAGGTGTTACGTGCCGTGCAGGTACAAGTGTTGTAAGGAGGAAATGGTGGCGGAAACGTAGCATCTACCAGGCTTGGGGAGGCGGCTGGAAAGAGTAGAAATCGGCCAAATAGAGTCGCCATTTCTTTGAAGTCTACTAATCGCTATCTAATAGGCTTGGGGTGAGGCGAACTGTTCACTCAGCGGACAAAATCCCTTGGCATGCTTATCTCTCTATTTGGCCGATTTCTACTCTTTCCAGCCGCCTCCCCAAGCCTGGTGGAGGCTAGCGGAAACGGCATTTTTCACAGAAGTCTTTCCTCCCCCTCAGGTGTTGTAAGAAGGCACCCTGTAGTTACAGAGGAAATGACGTAGCACGTATTTCACAGAAGACTTTCCTCCTTCCTGAAAAATTACCGGCGATTCGAATCCTTAAGCTTTTACCCCAAACTGCCGGTCAAAGGGCGATTAAGGTCACCGTATCCAAGGGCCCCGTCACAATCGTTGTAGCCTCCACCAGGCCTTCCTACGGGGAAAATTGCACCATATGCATAACACGTAATTTGATACCTTTTTATTCTGCACTACACAACACTATATTATGCTATACTACACTACACTACAACATGCTATAGTGTAGTATTGTACATATTGCACGTACACGTGTCATCAGTACTCTAGGTAGCAGCCGGGGGTTTTCCGTTCGCGCCATTGACGTAGGCAGTTCGACCGGTTCTATTGTGATGTCACAAGGCAGGATCACCGTTCGCCTCGGGCCAATCAGATTAACGGTCGGCGGTTACGTCATAGCCTTGGTGCAACTATTACTAGTCTCCAGGTAGGGGTTTGGGCTTTGGCTTATTTATATATGGATTCATTACAATACGTACATATTTATGGTTCAGTAAAGTAACAATTTTCCGTCCATAGGTCGTATCTGCGCCACGAATATTGACGACTGCGCCAGCCAACCTTGTCACAACGGCGGCAACTGTCGGGATCTGGTCGTTGGCTTCAACTGCATTATGTTTACGTTCACATGGCCCAGCTGAACAAGCTTTGTTTATTCTTATTCAAACACATTCATATATACATTGTATGTCGACCATGCAGTCCCTCTGAACTCAGTTCTTCATGGCACTTGCAACAAGATGTAACCCAACACCAGTTACCATGGTGAGAGAGGTCTGGTCCAGGTCATTGACCTTATTTGTTTGGAGAAGAAGAGGAAATAGATCAAAAACAATGTTTTCTTTGGGTAAACATAAACCATTTTCCGTCCATAGGTCGTATTTGCGCCACTAACATTGACGACTGCGCCAGCCAACCTTGTCACAACGGCGGGAACTGTCGGGACTTGGTCGCGGGATTCAACTGCACCTGCGCACACGGGTACGCCGGGGACACCTGTAACGTCACCGTGGACTACTGCAGCAGCGCCCCCTGTCTGCACGGCGGCGTATGTGCAGGCTATGTCGGCGGCTACTTCTGTGACTGCGCGCCAGGTAAGAACCTCAGATCATGTCCTTTTTGAAGCACCATGCTCAGATGATCTCCAAGCAGATCTTTTGGTGGCCGCAAAGACAATATCAAATTGGCCAGGCTGTATCCATTTGCCAGGCTGTTAACATTTGCCACTTTTTGGGCTGGCGTAAAAAAGATATCAGTAGTACAGTGCAAAAAAGAAAGCCCGATAAAAATGCCTGAAACACGCTTTAAGAATAAGCCGAAGCTGTATGTAGGAACCGACAATACGGAATATGACAAAAATTCAAGCATACGTATACTTGAATCTTTCTGGCCAAAAAAAGGGTGATACGTCAGTACTATATGAAAGAAAATTTTGTTTGGGGTCCGTTTCCGATCATTGTGTATATTTACCATTTTATAAATCAATGACTCTGGTCCATGCTTTTGTTTTTTTGTTTGTTTGTAACCACGGAGACCACTTAAAAAAATACCATTTTATGAATCAGTATTAATCAATGATATTGGACTTTTTATCCATGCTTTTTGTTTGCTTGTTTACTCCTAGGTTACCAAGGCGACCAGTGCGAGACAAACACAGACGACTGCTCCCCGTCCCCGTGCGTGAACGGCGGCACATGCGCAGACGGGGTGGACGACTTTACCTGCAGCTGTCCTCCCGGCTACTCCGGCCGCACATGCGCAGAGGACGACCTATCCTGCGCGTATCACGTGTGTCAAAATGGCGGCACGTGTGTCGATGACGTAGGAGGAGCCTACTGCGCATGCAGGTCGGGATTTATACATTAATTGGTTAATCAATCAATCGATTATTGATAAATCGATCATGGATTATGTGCTAGGGCCGGAAAGAAAGTTTCTAGGCTTACTCTTCCATATTTCGCTACCATAACTGTACGAAAATTAAACAAAAGTTCGTGTTTTGATTCTTTATTTATTTATCTATTACCACATACATACATGATAAAAAAAATTCACAAAATATAATACGAAGGATGTTAACGTACAGGGTGTGGAAGAAAAGCCATTAAGGTCTGTTTGGCCTCCTCCCCATCATGATATTACAATCATTACAGTCACTGACGAAAGCTAGTGGATACTAGCTGAAACGTCTGACGTTTTCAAAATCATATCCAGTTGCTTGAGTAACTATTTTTGGTGTATCGTATTACCTGGATGTCTAACCTTCATCGACGTACAATCATTACAGTTTTCCATGTCCTATTCGTGTATCCGTATGTGTGTAATTGCCCTTTGTTCCATTTTGTATCCAACATGCAAAGTCAACGCAATTCAGGAGTTCTCTTGCTATGTTGATTGATTTTAAAAAATTTATTGATAAATTGATTTGATTATTTCCAGACCGGGTTTTGCGGGCAGCCACTGTGAGACGGACGTGGACGAGTGCACAAGCGCGCCGTGTCTCAACAGCGCCACCTGCCGGGACCAGGAGAACTCCTTCTCCTGCACCTGCCCGCCGGTAAAAGTTTGTTTGTTTGTTTGTTTGTTTGGTCGGGACGAGGAGAACTCCTTCTTCTGTACCTGTCCGCCGGTAAGGTCAGGGTCACGTCAAATCAGAGGTTTGCTGTATGGCAAGCCTGTTTTACTTGTTTTACTTTAGTTCACGTCCATGGGCGCCGCCATTTTGTTTCCCATCAGGCTAAGAGAGAGGTCAAAGTTTAAGAGAGATGTGTATGCTGGGAATGTATGTCGCCATTTTTGTTTGTTGGTTTGTTTGAGCGATTGTTTATTCATGAGACTCTCGAATCGTCCTGCTGGCCGCTTTTCATTGAGGTCATGAGGGGAGAGGTACTGAATGACACACAAACAAAACTAGTGACCCTGTCCATGGTACTGAATGACATTTTCCAAATTTTACCTCAGGGATTCACTGGCGAGTTGTGCGGAGTTGACGTGGATGAGTGCGAGTCTTTCCCGTGCCGAAACGGCGGGACCTGTCAGGACCTCCCGGCGGGCTTCCTCTGCGTCTGTCCCGAGGGATACTCAGGAGACACCTGCTGGCAACGCGTCGACCCGTGCGACAGCGCCCCTTGCGAGAACGCCGGGTACTGCAGCAGCCTGGCGGACGGCTACGAATGCACCTGCCAGACAGGCATGGATCCACACTTTTTCAAACGTCTTGTAAAATTCTTTTATTTTTATGTTTACCGAATATTGTTTTTGCTCTGTTTCCTCTTCTTTTTCTCCGAACCAACAAGTTCAATGACCTGAACCAGGCGTCTGTCACCATGGTAACTGGTGTTTCATTTCATTTCATAATGAGAGGGTTACATCATGCAAGTTTATAGCAGGAGCGATTCAGAATCCTGCTGACCATGTAATGAATGTGTTTGTGTAAGAATTAACAGAGCAGACCATATGTGAAGGTAAACATTATGCACTTGCAAATGTTACCTTTCTAGTATAGTAAAATATTTATTTCTCATTGTAAAAGTGGCTGCGAGAATATAACTTGTGCCTAACTTGAGTTTGCAACTTCACTTGTCTATGTCCTTTCATTTGTACTTATTACTGTTTTCCTGAATAATAAATATCAGGCTATACGGGTGTGAACTGTGAGACGGATATCGACGAGTGCGCAGGCGTGACGTGTTACCATGGCAGCACGTGCAGGGACGGGATTGGCTGGTTCCAGTGCGACTGCGCAGACGGTTTCACTGGCTCATTGTGTGACGAAGGTAAACTTTTGTTTTTTTTATTTATTGTGTCAAACCAAGTACTTCAAGCTCCTTGGTTAATATTAGCAGAAGGAATACATATCGTTTTTGCTCTGTTTCGTCCTCTTCTTCTTCAAACAAATAAGGTCAATGACCTGGACCAGACGGCTGTCACCTTAACTGGTGCTGTAGCAGACACCCTGTGGTGTTAGCCTACATTATGTAGCAAGTGTTGGAGAGGCTGGTCACCACATAAATGAATGTGTTTGAGTAAGAATAAAAAGAGCAATTGTTAGACCGTGTGCTAGTAAGCTAGACTATGTGAAGGTAAACATTATGCATTTGCTTTGCAAATGTTGCCTTTCGTTTACATTTTTGTCGTATCGTAACTTCGTTATTTCAAATAATAGACTTATTTAGTTCATGAATGATAATTCTTGCATATTTCAGGGTGACAGTCAAACATTTTAGTCCCCTCTTTAACGCTTTAATAAATTAACCGAGACATTTTGATCCACAGCGGTTGACAACTGTGACGTCATCGTGCGTGATGACGTCACGAACACGACCCAGCTCGTTCCCAGGGCAGACTGCGGTGCGCACGGCACCTGCAGCAGCGTGGAGACCGGCTTCGTCTGCCTGTGTGAGGAGGGCTTCATAGGGGACAGGTGTGAACAAGGTAATCCTTTTCTTTTAGGCACCATTCCTACTAGGATAAAATTCGCTTTGAACTGGCTCTGATCCTACTTCGAGCCGGATCTGGGCCGGATCAAAGCGAATCAATTCTGCTCAATCCGGACAATTTTACCCTAGTGGGAATGGGACCTGAGAAAAGGCTGACCAGTTACCTGAGGATATTAAGGCCCCTATGTCATTGATGAAAAAGAACGTGATACGTAACTTAGGCTTCCTTTATACATACTTCAGAAACTGTGATCACATTTTGCAAAGGCAGACTGTGTTTCTTCTGTATCTCTCTACGACCAAACGAACCATGTATTAACCCTGGAAGATAAGCCTTTTGGGCTAAAGGGCATTGACATAAAGACAGCAACGACAAAGACAACCAGAAATGAACGGGAAACAAGTAACGTAAATTACTACATGTAGTACTAACGCGTGTTTTGCTTCTACTGCAGAGTTGCCGACCCCCTGCGTCGATGGTCAGGTGACCCGGCCGCACAACTCCACCTGGGAGGCCGACTGTAACACCTGTACCTGCACGGACGGACAGGTGTGGTGCGCAAAGGTGAGACAAGGACTTAAGAAAGAAGTCTTTTAGTTTTTCGGTGTTTATAAGAAAATTTGTCGACTACTTTTTCAAACCTGGTTGCACATTGGTTTTTAATTCAGTACACGGTCGAACTAACCAATAAAGGTATCTTGTGTCTTGTATCTACTTCTACTTCTCCTTCTTCTTCTTCCTCTTCCGATCCAAACACATCAGGTGGATGACCTAGACCAGATGTCTGTCACCATGGTAACTGGTGCTGTAGCAGACACCCTGTGGTATCGGATAACATTATGTATTGAGACAGAGGTTATAGGGGCTAGCCACCGGTCACCATATACTTAGTATATGAATGAACAGAGCAGCAGTTTGTTGGGCTAAACCGTTTACAAGGTAAACATCATGCATTTGCTTCGCAGATTTACCTTTCTAGTTAGTCTTAAATAAAAAAAGGGTAATGGTAGATAAAGTCCATGATTCATTCTAGAAAAAATAAAACAAAATCCACCCTTTCTCCAGATGTGGTGCGGTCCACCCGAATGCCCCTATGACGAAGTAGCCGGTTGCCCTGACGACGGCGAGTGCCTGTCCGGTTGCCATGACGACAAGGGCTGCGTCCTGTCGCCCTGCCTGACGGACCCCTGCGACAAGAACGTGGGGCACTGCGGCACCTCAGATAGCAGCGCCGCCTGCCGGCCCGATGGGGAACTGTACGGCTCTGACTGCACACGGCTCGGGTTCTACTTGGAAACGGACGACATAGAAGATGTAGGTCATTTGTTTCATGTCCATGAAATTGATTCGTGACACATTCTAGGTGCAACCTTATGTCTTTACTTGCAAAATTATGCCCGTAGGCAATAGACCTATACCATTATTACGTCACAGTTTGTTAACCTGTTCTAAAGAACATTCTAAAATGGTCAGTTAAAGAATAGAGATCATTTCAAAGTTTTCAAAGTCAGGTATGTTTGATTTTTGCTGCGTCTAGTCTTGTTGACACAGCATAACATGCCGAAATGGGTGATTTAGTTGTGACAGTAGACGAAAGTAGTACTGTATTAAGTCTAACGCTACACAAACACACACCGCGCTATGCACCCCTGTACAATATATAACGTCGATTGACCGGCATTCATTGCGGTAAACAAACTGTGACGTAATTATGGTATAGGTCCATTGCTTTTATAGAGTCAAAGATCCTATACGGTACAGTACACGTTAAGGTACCTACTTAGCATATATAAAACCATGTTTGTTGTTTTGTGGCCACCCCCATCTAGGGTCTGACATTGGAGACTTTCTGTGACGTTGTCCGGTCACTGACCTTGTTTGACCCGTTCGTGGTGCACCATGGGATGTGGATCCGCTGTCAGCTGACCGGATGGGAAGGACCCGACGCTTACGTCACTCTCTCGCTGGTAAACAGGTCTTCTTCTAGTATTTATGTTTACCCTCGCTTAGTTTCTTCTTCTCCTCCAAACAAAAAGGTCAATGACCTGGACCAGACGTCTGTCACCATGGTATTCATGTTTACCTTCGTATTCATGCAAAAGGAAACGTTGTTTTTGCTCAGTTTCTTCTTCTTCAAAGAAAAATACCTAGACCAAAAGTGACCTAGACCAGACGTCTGTCACCATGGTTACTGGTGATGTAGCAGAAACCCTGTGATGTCGAGTTATTAATTAAATTATGTAGCAAAGTTGCAGGACAGAGTTGTAGGGCTGGTCACTAAGAATATGAACGGGGACAAGACAGTTAAGTTGGCCAGCCCGAAGTCTGCTGGCCAACAATACTGTCTTGCCCGAAAGCTTCTTGGATTTTTAAAACGCGTGCATGTTTAACTAAAAAAATAGTACGAAACAGCTGATGTCACACGCCAAACCGTTGCCTAGGAAACAGAAAAGGAGACCGAACAGAGCCTGACGGCGGTGGTAGCGGGAGGGGACCTTCTGGACTTCATCATAGCAGAAATGGCGAACCCGAATTCCACCAGCCTGTTTCACCACATCCGGCTGCCCAGTCTCAGCCCAGAGAAGGTCGTGGGACCTGCAAATACAGGTGGGGGCCATCGCCTTTTGGTATGTGATTTGCACTTCTAACTCTCCAGGTTTTTATTTTTGTTCGAAGGACAACTAAAGAAAAATATAGTAAAGACCAAACGGAATTTGGCCCTTAAGATTAAGGGTGCACCAAACGGCATATACACCACCCTATTTGGCTTGCTTTGATGGACGCTCTTCAGCTTACCATCTCTGCTATTTAACTTTTGCTCGGTTCGTTGGGTACAATACACTACAGGCTACGCATGTCACAATAACTTACGTTTTGATACCGTTCTAAGCAGTAATATCTAGCTTCAGTACACTGTGAAACAGTCATAATTGGTCCCAATGTCAATGTGCATTGTTACAGATGACAAAACAGTATATGTCGTGGTTGGCGTGCTGGGTTCCGTGGGTTTCCTGGTGCTGCTGGTGATCGGGGTGTTCTGTGTCAGAAGGGCGCGGCGAGAGGGACCACACAGACACAATGAACCGAGGTAAGGCCATGGCCAGTAAGTAGCGGCGCGGTCACATTCGTCATAGGCCATGGTACGATTTTGATCTCGTAGGATGGTCAAGCAGGCTGTGAAAGAACCAACCGCTGACAAGGATCTAAATACTGCCTTTTTGATATAACAAGGCAACTGAATCTAGTACGAGACAAGCACGACCATCCCAATAACGCTCTTAATTTGCAATCATATGAAGAATGTGACTACGCTCTGCCCCAATCATGCACATTTCTAGGGGAACGTATGGGATGAACTACGTAATGGAGATTTTCTTTTGCGATTTGTATAAACGAAATACATATTTTCGGCTTAGGTATTGTAACCGAATGGCCTAACCTTTTATCGAGTATGTATTAGAGTCCGAGTGACTATTTTGCTTTTGGTTATAAGGCGAGCTGAAGCGAAGCCACATCGCACTACTACCACTACGAGCTTCCAGTTCGACAGAAGTATAAGAAAAACATATAATATGTACCCGTCTGCTTTCTAATGCAATAGTATTTACCTATCGCTTATGGACAGACGTTTATCCCTTTATCCGTTATTCTGACTTCAGGAATGTGTACGACAACGTGACGTTTTCCGTTCCCGAAGGTGACGTCAAGTTCGAGAACCCAATGTACGTGGAGGTGTTCGGGAAAACAGCGCCGCCTGTCGGAGTGAAGGGGCACGACAGCCCGGGTGTTAACTTGGAACTGAACGGAGCTGATTGTTAACTTTGGACCTGAATGTTTAATTCTGGTTATGATTTTATATTTGGCAAAAAGAATAATTATGATCTTCTACAAGGCACACTCTCCAACCAAGTGTCGTAATAGGTTTAGGTCAGCATCAAGCCTAAACTCAATGAAATAAGATAAGATAAGGAAAAGACGTTTATACAGCTTTTTAGGTTTTCTGTTCACGAATCAACGGATATACATGTACAACTAAAAGAATCAACTATCAATTACCGAACAAATAAGAAACAAAAAAAAACACGAAAGCGTTTATTCATAGATCGATTATTACGTTTATAACCGGGTCAAAGCTGCAGGTATGTCACAAATGGAGACGTTATTTATTGATAAAATAGAGGCCTAGGTACACTCCAATGTTTTCTACAAAAAGGTAGAAACATTTGAATATTGACATTGCAGAACCTTAAAGAAGAGGTGATAAGCTAGCCATATTACACGCAGGTGTCACCAAATAAAAAGATTCGCACTCGCCACATACAGCGCTTTCGGCATTTATTCTCTTTGATTCTAAATATTTTATTTCTGAAGGTAATCAAGGTTAGACTGTGCTGCAATGACCTGGAAATTTCTAAAGTTCAAATTCATGCACATTGATACTTGGATGAGATTCTGCAGTTTGCAAACATTTCGCTAGAAGGCGATGTTAACAACACCAACCGGCCCAAAGACCAGCAAGCATACCACTTGTTACGTCGACTACCTGTTAAGTGAGTAAAACAGAATTCCCAAAAGCAAATTCCTTAACTATGTGCAATTCACAAAGTCGCCAGTGAGGGCGCTACTTAACCTTCGGTTTTGTAGGAGATGCACACACACACTCACCCACAAACAAACATGATATATGCAAACACCAAATACGAAAACACACACACACACACATACATAAACATACATGCGCATATAACTGTTACACACACACACACACACACACACACACACACACACACACACACACACACACAGAGAGAGAGAGAGAAAGATAGAGCATTCAAACAAGCATTCACAATCCTTGTCACAGGTGTATAGTAACACATAGAAGCACGACACAGGTCGTTTATTCTGGCCAGAGTTATCTATTTTTCAAAAACCCGAGATCTTGCCAACTCTGGGACCAAAATTCCCACAAAACAACAATACGTCAAAACAACCTCGGTGGTCCCGCACGGTGAAGCGCGCCGCACGTGAATTTCCCAGCGAGAGTTCCGTGGGCCGAACCGGGCTCCCCGGTACGGTTACAAATCAGATACCGCGGGGGTTGGGCAAGATCACCGATCAAAGTCGGCCCAGGGATAAATTTAGCGCCTCGGTTGCTAAAAATAAACCTCCCGGAGGCTTAATTGCCGTGGATGTGGTCCAAGTTCACGGAGGCGAAGCTACTTTGGAATGCGGCTTAAACAGAAGCACATTTTGGGGGGACTCCGATCGCTGAAGACACCTGTGACGAGATGCCAAGTGCTGCGGGAGTTGAGACCCTTCCGGAGAAAAACATCGGTATTGACAAGTGGACATGTACAGGGACTGTCGTACCATTGCCAGTATGTTCTGTGAACAAACTATAACGAAATAGGATTTTTATGTCTTGATATGATCAATAAAGCATAGTTTATCTGTCTAAACTCATCTATAAACGGTCTCATCGTCATTACGGTTAGGGAAGCTCCCGGAGACAAACATCGGTATTGATATGTGGACATGTACAGGGACTGTCGTGCCATTGCCAGCATGTTTTGGCTGTGAACAAACTATTACAAAAAAAGATTTGTAGGTCTTGATATGATTAAGCATAGTTTATCTATCTCAACCCATCTATAAACGGTCTAATCGTTATTGACAAGTGGACATGTACAGAGGCTGTCGTACCGTTGCCAGTATGTTTTGACTGTGAACAAAATAAAAGGAAATGAGAAGATGCATATGTCACAATTCATCTTGATATGATTAATAAAGCATAGTTTATCTATCTAAACTCATCTATAAACAGTCTCATCGTCATTTCGGTTAGAGAACCTCCCGGGGAAAAATAGTTATTGACAAGTGGAAACGTACTGAGGCTCTGTGGTGCCTTTGCCACATGTTTTGGCTGTGAACAAAATATGAAGAAATAAAAAGATTTACAGTCATAGCTTCTTTAGCTATGGTGACTTGCCCTTTCCTGTTTAGACTACATATAAATTCAAACATTCATGGATACTATGAAGAAAGTTCATCTGAGTTGGTACTGAGTTACATGTTACAAGTTTAAACTTTTGTTCCTTATATAAGACTTTCGACCGATCACTCTGGTCTTCTTCAATAGACCTATAGACTTATTAGATACAGGTTACACTTGGCTTTGGTGAAAGATCAGACCTCTGACTCTTCAAAGAGTTAATCCAGCTTCTTGCTTTATTTTGACCATGTGTATTATGTAACGCCTAACCTCCACCGGACGTATGTCTTAGTTTGGTTTCTGGGAAAGCCGGCCGGTTCACAGGTGGAAAAGTTAGAGAATTTATCACAAGACAAGTGACACAACCTCGACTGTGAGCGCCGTTCATCACTTGAAGCGCCCTGTTTCTCTTTAGCGCCGGAGAACGGTTGGAAGCAGATCGACTTTGATATTTAAGGCCTAGGAAAGTCAGTGTGATATTTCCGAAGTGGTACTTTTTTCATACGTTTATTGCTGTGATGATGATATTGCGCATCAAGTTGTATTATAATAACAATAATAAAAGTAATTTAAAGAAAAATATGGTACATGACTTCACATTTACACAGTGTAACAGGGGGTTTAGCGAGGCAAATTGGACCCTCTATGGGCGGCTAACTCCCTTGGCCATTTATACTTGTTTTTAGACCGATTTCTACTGTTTATTCATCCTGCAATTTGTAAAGGAGTCTGGTGGAGACTAGCATCAGCATGGTTCTGGATACAACGCAACCCTTCTCGGGCCAATAGATACTGGCCTTTCTTAGAGAAAGACTGAATAAAGTCGAAACCGGTCAAATTCCGTCTCATCGTTGTCATCTTTCCATCGCTACGAATGATGCCTCCTCTGGCCAATAGATACTGAAGATTACTACTAGACCCACTGCTTGTCCAATGGATACTGCTTTAATTTGCCACCGTAGGATCTGCTTGGAGATTAGCCTGCATGATCAAGGGAAGCCGGTCAAAGTCCGGGACGGAAGGTCAGGGTGACCTGCAAGATTAAGTTGTATAACTATAAGTGAAACCAGTTGGTCAGGCAGGTTATATAACTCCATGCTTCCGATGTCAGTCCTGATAAAAGTTTAGGTAGGGATTCTCTTCTTTCTTTCTTTTTTTCAACCCGGGTTTGAAATTCAGATGTCCGATAGAAAATTATATAGCCTTGCCAGCTGTCGACGAAGAAAAAAAGACGAGAGCCGGTCGGGTAACCGGAAAGACTTTTTTGCTGGACCTTACAGCAGATTCAGAATGAGCGAGGTTTTGCTTTCTACGTGTTTGTTTGCTCGTCCCTAGTTATTTGAATACGAATACGCCCGAGTCAAAGACCGAGGTGATGGAAGAAAAGAAAACAAGATGACAAACGCCACAACCCCTTCAAACGCATGTAAAAGATTTACAGATGTTTCCAGAAACATATTGACCGTCTGGGCACTACACAACATAACCGCTAATACCCTCGCTCACGGTCAATGCCATTTGAAGCGGTCGCTGCGCCGGATATTCGCTGACCGGTCGTTGCCACATCCGACTGTTCCTAACTTGTGCGACACAAAAGCGTATAGAAAGCAACATTTTGATTTCACATGTACGACAGTTTCGTAGAAATGGTGAAGAAAGTAGTTAGATATAACGTGTATAAAGCTCGGGTTAAAAAAGCCTAATCCTAAAATCCTTCGTGGAATAGGTCATACAAATCCAAGTTTTGCCGCTCCACTGTTTCCATCTAATAGTAAGGGGTCTTTTACTTCTTTGTTTGTTTGTCTATTAGGATCGCCATTAATGTTCAATTGCCGAATTCTTAACCCCCTTTAGGAAGGCCTGGCAGTATCCACTATCCCTATCGAAATGGATATTATCATCCTAACCCCCTATAGAAAAGCTTGGTAGATGCTACTGTTTTTGCCGAATTCTACCATCCTTACCCCTTATAGAAAAGTCTGGTGGAGGCTATTATTTTGCCGAATTCTGCCATCCTAAACCCTGTAGAAAAGTCTGGTAGAGGCTAGGGTAGCCACCAAAAGATCTGCTTGGAGATCAGATGGAGGCCACTATTTTGGCTGAATTCTAGCATCCTAACCCCCTATAGAAAAGCCTGGTGGAGGCTACTTTTTTGCCGAATTCTGCCATTTTAAACCCCTATAGAAAAGCCTGGTAGAGGCTACTAATTTTCCTGAATTCTACCATCCTACCCCCTATAGAAAAGCCCGTTAGAGGCCAGGGTAATGAACGGAGGAAGTCCCGTAACTCTGGGTGGCACTCCAGGTCAAGTCACGCTTCTGGCGAGGCTGGCAACACTTCCGGTATTTCCCGGCTCACCCCGTCACTTGACTTTGACTGTAATCATTACCAGCCCTCCGAGACTGCAGTGCTGATAAACCTGCTCAAGACGACCACCCTAGGGGCGAGACCTCCGAATCTGCAGTACAGTCAAACCTGCTCAAGGCGGCCGAAAAAGGGGACCGATAAAACATGGTCCAGGACTCTTCAGTTACATATCCATTGTTACACTTGTCTTAGTCAGAACCTCCAAAGGGAACCTAACAGTAGATGATAGGTAGTATATAGTATTGTTGTAATGTATAGATTCCTAGCACTTTCCTTTAGAATATAGCGTTCAAGTATGAAATACTCATGTTTTGCATACTGCATACCCTCTTCTACATTTAGCCCATCTGGGCAAAATCATGCAATAAAGATTCATATCATATCATTAACTAATTCTCAGTCACGGTGGGTCTAATTGTCCAATTGTTTGGGGAGACACAGAGAGAGAGAGAGAGAGAGAGAGAAAGAAAGAAAGAGAGAGAGAGGGAGAGAGAGAGAGAATGAGTGATTATAAAAGTGCTGTTCACTGTTGCAATGACCATAGACAGGTCCATGTGGCATATCCACGTACCTAACCCCACACGTAGCGTGCTGTGTGTCCCGCGGCGCTGTTCTTGTCTCTTTCACCCAGATACAATAAATCAACACGCTTTACCCTGCAGCAAAAGGAACTGACCCAAAAGCCCCTTCTTTGCAATAAATTGTCTATCAGAACCTCCGAAGGGTTCTGAAACATGTAAACTTCACACTTGAAAATTTTAACACAGATTCACAAACCCGTTTTAGCTACCGAGGCCCTTTCCTCTACCCCTATTAGTCGATAGCTAATGTAGGTTTGGTTAATACAATACGAATTTTATGTATATAAGACTTCTACTGAAGATATCATAAAATACATTTTTGCGATAGCAGGTGTTCAATAATTGTAATAATGACTAATGATAATAGGTGTTCGTATTGGCAACAGAACACACGTT